GGCTGCCATTTACAGATAAGGAAATTAGGATACAGAAAGCTTGTATATCTTGCAAAAAAACATGCAGCTCTAAAGTGCCAGTTCTGGCTGGGTGCGTTGGCTCATGCCTATAATCCTAGCACTTTGGGAGGCCAAGGCAGGCGGCTTACCGGAGGTCAGGAGTTTGAGACCAGCCTGGCCAACATGGTGAAACTCCGTCTCTACTTAAAGAAAAATTAGCCAGGTATGGTGGCACACGCCTGTAGTTCCAGCTACTTGAGAGGCTGAGGCAGGAGAATCACTTGAATCCAGGAGGCGAAGGTTGCAGTGAGCCGAGATTGCACCATTGCACTTTAGCCTAGGCTACAAAAGTGAAACTCCATTTCAAAAAAAAAATGCCAGTTCCAACCTTCAAACACAGTCCTCCTGAACCCTAAGCTATGCATAAGGAGTTGCCTCTATGGATATTAACGTGTAAGAGCCCTTTGGTAGAGGAATTTAAGGGGAGAAAACCACAATCACTTTTGCACCAACATAATATAAAAGAAGAGGGAAAGTACGGGCACAGCACAAGGCTACAGGCTATGGCAACCTTGGCCCCTGCCACTCGCTCAAGATCATTCAGCCAACAAATGTCTGGGAGACAGCCGCATGCCAGGCTGTGTACTTGATGCTCAGAAAGAACAGCCTTGCCCTTAATGAGCTTACAGTCTACATTCAAAACCAGCTTGCGTAGGTCTTGGGGCCTTTTGCTCTTTCTACATTTTGAGCCATTATAATTAATCAATGATAGTTAATAAGGGAAAACAGATAGGTAATATATTCTGGTTATGCTAACAGTCCAAAAAGTAATAAGAATAGAAAACAGCTTTTTCAAATTCCTTTTAGGAAAGGCTGATACAGTCATAAGTGAAAATATGTTTTTTCTGGGTTCTAATTCATGAGACTTTTGCTATTTGCTGTGTACATTATAGAAAAGTTCACATCCTCTTACTCAGGGCAATGTTGAAAAAATTCATAATAAAATTTATTTTTGTTGTTTATGTTGAGGCCCACAGAGAAGTCATGTGAAAGATATAGTAAGCTTGGGCATGTGCTTGCATATTTGGGATTAAAAAGTTAATATATGCATTATTAAAGTTATAAATGTGTAAATTATTTTGAGTAGATGGGTGAAGGTCCTTACTCTCTTCTGATGCCTCCAGTTCACAGAGAAAAATACTATTTCAAAACTTAAAGAAAAGCATTACTTTACTGATGATGGCTCTTAGTTTCAGACAACTGAATCCATTCTAGCTAGTTTAAGCACCAAGAGATTTAATTGGCATTTTGAAACTTGCCAAATACTGTTCCCAGAATGTTGTCACTGGAAACGTTTAAAGATAAGGAAACATAGAAGCAGAGAATAGTATAGTTGTTTCCAGGGACTGGGAGGAGAGAAAAATGGGGAGAAATTGATCAAAGGAAATCAAGTTAAAATTATGCAAGATGAAGAAATCCTAGAGATCCACTGTACAGCATAGTACCTGTAGTTGACCACCCACTGCTGTACACTTAAAAATGCACTAACAGGCCGGGCACAGTGGTTTACACCTGTAATCCAGTACTTTGGGAGACCAAGGCAGATGGATCACTTGAGGTCAAGAGTTCGAGACCAGCCTGGCCAACATGGTGAAACCCCATCTTTAGTAAAAATATTATACAAAAATCAGCCTGGCATAATGGCGTACAGCTGTAGTCCCAGCTACTCAGGAGACTGAGGCAGGAGAATCGCTTGAACCTGGGAGGTGGAGGTTGCAGTAAGCCAAGATGGTGCCACTGCACTACAGACCTGCAACAGAGCAGGTCTCTGTTTCAAAAATTTTTTTAAAAATTCTGACAGTAGGTCTTGTGTTCTTATCACAAAATAATAATAATACATAAAGAGAAAAGCAAACTTTTGGAGGTGATGGATATATTTATGGCATACATTCCTCCAAACTCATCAATTTGTATACACTAAGTATATACAGCTTTTTGTATGTCAGTCATATCTCAATAAAGTGGTTTAAAAGTTAATAAAGATAAGGAAACTAAGACTCAGAGGCAAATTTTGTATGTTAATTCAGCAAGCATTTTTCAGCCCTAAGTACCAATCACTGTACAGAAATTAGTAGTATTGCGTTTCTCCTTTCATGAGGCTCACAACTATTTTCCCAATAGGTTGTGCATCAGTCTCACTCTATGAGCTTTAAAAAAATACAGATTCTAGAATTACTAAATTAGAATCTCTAGAGGGGGCTGGGCATAGTGGCTTATGCCTGTAATTCCAGCACTTTGGGAGGCTGAGGTGGGCAGATGACCTGAGGTCAAGAGTTCAAAACCAGCCTGGCCAATATGGTGAAAACCCATCTCTACTAAAATACAGAAATTACCCGGCCATGGTGGTGGGCGCCTGTAATCCCAGCTACTTGGGAAGCTGAGGCAGGAGAATCGCTTGAACCCAGGAGGCAGAGGTTGCAGTGAGCCGAGATAGTACCACTGCACTCCAGCCTGGGCGACTGAGCAAGATTACATCTCAAAAAAAATAAAAAACTATGATGAAAAATGTTCTACATTACCTTAAAATTCCTCCCTTCATAGCTGTGGGGAAATGGACCTTGAAGCTCTAGGTCAGTTTGCTTTGCTATCATTAGTATTTTGTGTTTGAGGACCTGCCAGAAGATGTGTTCATTTAGGTAATCCTAGTAAGTGACTTTTCTCATGTAAGGATTTGTGTACTTTTACAATTTGGTGATTTATAATTTCAATCAGCACACTGGAAACTCTTTATCTGTCGTATAAGAGTCTGGTTATTTGATCTCCTAGTATTGGTTCCTTGGTTACTTTGCCCCTCTGCCTTTGATAAGATGGTTATTGATAGCCTTCGAGGCTTTAATTATTTAATCGTTGTTGATACAAATAAAAATTCCCCCAAAAGGACAGCCTTTCATTATATCTTCTTCTCCTTCCCTTTTCCAGTTGAAACATCCTTGAACTACCAACCAGCTCTCTCAAAAAGGACATAGATTAATAGCCAGGGTGCCAGTATCTCAAAAATATTTGAGAAGTCGTCTCTGTGTCTCTTCCTAACCTACAGAGAGTTAAGGTTGCCAGATTTAGCAAAGAAAAATACAAGATACCCAGTTAAAGTTGAGATAAACAAAGAATATTTTTAATATAATTATATCCCATGCAATATTTGAGACATACTTATACTAAAAGTTTATTTCTTGATTATCTAACATGCAAATTTAACTGAGCCTCCTATATTTTCTCTGGCAACCCTACAGATAGTGCATATCTTAATGCTTTAGAAAATCCATCTAATGTTTTGAGATCTCAAGTTGAGATTTGCTCCTAATTGAAACCCACAAGGAAATGGTTGTGACAGTTAAGACTGCATTTGCCTGAAGTATAGTGGATGTTACACGGCCCACCTCCATACAACTCTCTTTTGTTGTGAGAATATAAGCATAGAAACAAGACTTTGCTTGAGAAACCTAAGCCAAATAGTACTGTTTTGTAATTTGTATTATTTTGCAGACACACATAAGTAAAGATAGTGCTACGATGCATTGCGCAGAATTTATGTACACCCTATTTAGTTTTTTTTCTTTTTGTTTGTTTGGGCGGTGGGCACATGGATGGGTGGGTGAGGGTGTTTGTTTTGCCATCTCCTGAGTCAGTGGTTTTGAGCCTTAGCTGTACAATAGAATCACCTGAGAGCTTCTTAAGCTCTCAATCCGTGTCTGCTTTGCAGACCAATTAAACCAGAATCCCTGGAAATAGAGTCAAGCATCAGTATTTAAAACTGCCCAGGTGACTCCAATGTGCAGCCATGGCTGAGAACCAATGCCCTAAATGAAAATGGCAAATTTGAAAAAGCTCTTTTTACCACTAAATTATGTCCTTATTTTAATCCTCTTCCAAACTCATTTCATGTACTTTTCAGTCAGCATATTATGGCAATTACATTTATTATTTTGTATTATATCTTCTATATATGATGTATAATATCATAAAGCTTACTTTAAAAATGATTTCATGTGGCTTTAATCATGTCACTGATTCAGTATCAGTTTCTTCAACATCTATAATTGGCTTTCATTTTCAAATATTTCTTTGTGATTTTTCTTACATATTTTTCATATGTATTTCTCTCTCTCTCTCGCTCTCTCAGATTCTAAGCCAGTGATTCTCAACTTAAACGGCATATTAGAACCATCTTAGGATGCTATAGAGAAATGCCCAAGCCTGCCTCCTGGAGGCCGTGCTATAATTGGTCGGGTGTGGAGCCTAAGCATTAGTGTTTAAGTACCTGAGGAAGTTCTGGGTTTAGCCAGAGTTGAAAGTCAGTGTTTTCAATATGTCAAGTACCTATCTAGCTGATCAACTGCATGTCCTGGGGAACTTTTAATACATAAATATAATTGCTCTGCTTAATTAAATAGAAGAAATTTTGAGGTTCTGGGAGAAGGAGAAATAAGGGAGTGGTAAGTGACCACCCTCTTGTCTTTATACTCTCAGATTCATGGGTGTCATGAGGAATTCCTGATGTTGGGGATAGCCAGAGGACTCTCAAGACTAAAGATAGAGATGCCTCCTATTTTAAGTGTTTGCTATGCTTCAGTGTAAACCAGTCTATTGCCCTGAAATCTCCAGAAAAGATTGCCACATACATGGGCAAGGGACACATGCTTACACCCACAAGTAGTGAATACCCATTGTTCGGGCCTCACCCAGTGGAAATCCTAACTGTGTAGGTTCAGGGTAAGGCTCTGAACCTAGTAATTCAAGCCCTCCCCAGACCACTGTGATGATTGGCCACATTTGGTCACCACTGCCTTGTAGGTGATAAAACATCCCTAGACATGATCATCATAATTCACCCAGTCGACAGCTGAGCAAACTCCTGTGGGGTAACAGGAAAATCAATGGTAAAACTGAGTTTCTGCAGCAGGAGAAAAACCAGAGTCTGATTCTTATTAAACCTTCCTCAGGTCTACCGGTTCCTTTTCTCTTCGAGTGGCCACATGAAGGAAGAAATTACCTTTCTGAACTAAGACAAAAGAAGACTAAGAAGATGATGCCTACAAAGAATAATAATAAAAGTTTAAAGCAGATGTAATCTATAAGATGAAAGATTAGACAGGAATCATGGCATGCATTATCAATAATCATAACATACCCATTCAAAGATTTCATTCACCCCCCAGTTACTCAGCACCTGCTAGGATACAAGTGCTGAGATAGGTCCTGGGAATTCAGAGTATGATATTGTCTCAAGGAATTTACAGTCTAGAAGAGTAGATTAATGATTCTATTAGAATAGAAGAATGGAAGAGTATACAAAGTAACATGCATAGGCCCATTTCATAAAGGATTGTAAGTGAGGGGAGACTTCACAGAGAAGCGGAAGACAGAACAAGGGTTTGGAAGATAGAATGATTAGGCTGTGGGGAAAATGGAAGGAGTGAAGGGAAAGAAACAACATCTCTTATTAGAATGAATTGAAACTCTAGATGGGCACAGAGGCGTAAAGCAGCATGGTATGTTGTCTGGATGACAAATGGTTTTATAATGATGTCATGTAATGATCTGGAGGAGTTAGGGCAGGTGGAAGCCAGTGGTAAGGTTTTGATGTGTCGAACTCCACTCACACATCATCCCAGTCATTCTTGTATTTTGATGAGTTCCTAGAGTGGCCCTAAAGAGCTGGATGAGAGGTGGCCAACCCACCTTGCTAGTCTGAAACAAAAAACGTATAATCTTTATTTCTCGGGTTCTGCAATATTCTCTTTCTCCAGATTTACCATTTCTTAGTTCATATGAGCTGCTATAACAAAATGCTACAGACAGAAATTTCGAAACAATAGAAATTTATTTCTCACAGTTCTGGAGTCTGGGAAGTCCAGGAACAAGGCACCAGCTGGTAAGGGCCAGGTGTCTCTGCTTCCAAGATGTTGTCTTATTGCATCATCCTCTGGAGAGGAGGAACGCTGTATCCTCACATGGCGGAAGGGACAGAAGGGATGAAAGGGGGTGAGCCCCCTCTGCTAAGTCTTTTTATAACTTAATCCCATTCGTGAGGGTTCTGGAGCCCACATGATCAATCAGTTCCTAAGGACCACACCTCATAATACTGTTGTATTGGGGGTTAAGTTTCAACTTGAATTTGAAAGAGACAAAAACAGTCAAACTGTAACATTTTAATATCATCCTTAATGGTAATTGGTTGCATTTGCTGCCATAATTTTTTTTATAGGCTCTTGAATTTTCAACCTCTTTCAACATAGGTATTTATTTTGCATAATATTTTGTGGTAGATCATACACAACCCTGATTTCAATTTGTTTTGTTTTGTTTGAGATGGAGTTTCGCTCTCATCACCCAGGCTGGAGTGCAATGGTGCAATCTCAGCTCATTGCAACCTCTGCCTCCTAGGTTCAAGTGATTTTCCTGTCTCAGCCTCTCAGGTGTCTGGGATTACAGGCATGTGCCACCACTCTCAGCTAATTTTTTTTTTTTTTTTTTTTTTTTTTTAGTAGAGGCAGATTTTCTCCATGTTGGCCAGGCTGGTCTTGAACTCCTGACCTCAGGTGATCCACCCACCTCGGCCTCCCAAAGGGCTGGGATTACAGGTGTGAGCTACTATACCCAGCCTTGATTTAAATTTGAATGTGATTTTATTTTGATGAAAACCTGAGTTTTCACTGTGAAGGAGTTGTATTGACCAACATTAATAGCCCTCACAATTCCACAGTCACCACACAAGCACTTAACCATGCATTCACGTTAACCTCTGCCTGCTCTGCCATTAACTTCCTTCAGTTGGGAACACTGGCTTTAGTTGTTGTGCTTTTAATATTTTATTATGAGGTATGTAGTTCGAATGTACAGACAAGTACAAACAATCATGTAACAAGCACCAGTTTACTTACTAAGCAGCATAATAAAATCTTCATATTTTGCTGTCTTTGTGCCAGTTCTTTTTTTACAAACTAAAACATTGCAGATACAGTTAGTAGAAGCCCTCTACTATCCCTTCTTAGTCTCATTTCCCTCTCTCTCGAGGTAAAACCAACCTGATCTCAGTGTTTATTGTTGTCAAGAGTGGTTTTATACTTTTACTACAAATATATGTAATAACATATACTATTATTTTGTTTTTAAACTGTAAATAATTGAATCCTCTCAGTATTCATCTGTGCCTTACATTTTTGTTGAAAATTGTCTCTGAGATTTGTTGATGACACATATAGATGTAGTGTGTTTCTTTTAATTACTATATAGAATTAAATTTATGAATATACCAAAATGTATTTTTTACTGCATACAAGTAGACATTTAAATTTTTTCCAATGTTTCACTGTTATAAGGCTGCAGAAAACATTCTTGTACACATCTCCATATGCACAAATATGTTGTATTTTTATTCTTTAATCATTTCTTTTACTCATATAAGTAGTATCACTATGTAGCAATGAAAAAAACTATCAGTCATTCTAATAATCAAAAACATGACAATGTAATCAACTTCAAAACAATATTGGAATAGTGTGCTGATGTTTTAACTTATTGCCTTTCACAAAGGTCACCAGCAACTTCCCTCAAACAGACATATAAGCCTCAGCCCTGAACCATGGAATAATTTAAAGAGTAATCAACCATAAATATAGAATTGGAAGGGAGGCTAATATAGCTTTAAGAAACATTGAGTCAATTTAAAGACTGATCGTACACTTTTTTTCTGTTTCCCTGACATATAGCTGGTCAAAATTGACCTGATTTGCAATTCCTCTTATATGGACCTAGAGGCAACTGACTGTAGTATTTAGCCATTGCACTTAATATGAGCTTTTGTTAAAAGTACACACATTAACCATTTATTGCTCTGGGAGGGAATAAGTCACGTTTATTTTTTTTATTGATTTTGATTTCATTAATTACTGCCTCCTATATACAGATCAATCCATTAGGTCCTCTGGGATGTCCAAAGAAAGCCTCAGAAGAGCTTGGAACACCACAAAGAAGAGATGCTTAGGAAAAGTCATCAGTAGGATTTTGGCATGTAAAATGGATTTTTTCTTTTTTCCCCTAGTAACACTCAGGAAATGCTTGTCTCCTGCTATTAATGAATGATTTCAGAGTACTATGGATCATGCTGAAGAAAATGAAATCCTTGCAGCAACCCAGAGGTACTATGTGGAAAGGCCTATCTTTAGTCATCCGGTCCTCCAGGAAAGACTACACACTAAGGACAAGGTTCCAGATTCCATTGCGGATAAGCTGAAACAGGCATTCACGTATGTTGCATTTTAACCTGTTTCTGTTACTGTATCATTTAGTTATGAGAGGCGCAAGGTCAAATGTGTAAAGAAAATCTGTTTGGTGAAGTGGAGAAAAAAATGAATGCTGAGCCATCATGGTTTGCAAAGCTGTTTCACGAGGTTCAGTCAGTGTTAGATATCTGTACACAGGCTTCATCATGAATTTCACCATATTTATTGAATTCCTACTATGCCTTTTGTCTGTGTAAATGTTAACATAACCAGCACGCTTTCTAATTCTCCACCCACCTTCAAAATACCTTTTGTGTCCCAGGAATATTCCAGCCACTCTCTTTTTTTCCCCACCCCTGACTCCTACCCTGTCTGGCAACATCCTGAATCACCAATTGGAAATTTTTCCAGATTGCTCTTGGGAATAAGGAATGGAAAGTGCTTTGGTTTGAATTCTACAGAGATGTTTCTCATTTATAACTTTATCTCTGTCTGTCTTTGTCCTTTCAGATGTACTCCTAAAAAAATAAGAAATATCATTTATATGTTCCTACCCATAACTAAATGGCTGCCAGCATACAAATTCAAGGAATATGTGTTGGGTGACTTGGTCTCAGGCATAAGCACAGGGGTGCTTCAGCTTCCTCAAGGTTAGTAGATCTTTCTTTCCCCCCTCGCTGTCCTCAAACAAATGCTTGACCTTCTGTTTATTTCATCATGATTGCAAATTCATAATTTTTATCATATCTTTCTAGTAACCTTTACCTGTCTAAAGGTATTCTTCAGAAACATGTAATCCTTGAACCTGTAATCTCAGCACTTTGGAAGGCCAAGGTGGGAGGATCACTTGAGACTGGGAGTTGGAGAACAGCCTGGGCAACAAAGTGAGACACTGTCTCTACCTTTGAAAAAACAAACAAAAACAAAAAACACAGCTGGGCATGCCTGTAGTCTCAGCTACTTGAGAGGCTGACACAGGAGGAGCGTTTGAGCCCTGAAGTTCAAGGCTGTGAGGAGCTCTGATCATACTACTCCACTCCAGCCTGGGAGACAGAGTGAGACCCTGTCTCCAAAAGAAAGCTCCAGGGATATTAATAGTAGAAAATGGTGATACTGTTTTGCAGATCAGTACATTGGTTGGGCATTATCTTGCCACTTGCTAAGTCAGTCACTCAAGAAACATTTTGTTGTTATGGTTGTTTTGAAGGTTTGTGGCTTCTGAGTCCATATTCTAATTACAAGGGACCATGATATGCTAAATTCCTGTAGTATATTGCAGCAACCCTGTGATTTTATATGTCATATAAGAACTTAAGAAAATATTCATTAACTTATTCATTAATTTATTCATGTATTCTAAATAGTACATGTTTATTAGGCACCTACCTGGTTCACTGTCCTCATGGAGCTCACTAACCATCCAATCAAGGTATGAGATGCTAAGCAGGAAAAAGCACATAGAAAAATTTTAATTACAATGATAAGCACAATGAAGGAAAAGATAAGGTATTGTGAAATAAAAATAGTGGATCTAGGGCTGGCTGTGGTGGCTCACGCCTGTAATCCCAGCACTTTGGAAGGCTGAGGTGGGTGGAGCACCTGAGGTAAGGAGTTCAAGATCAGTCTGGCCAACATGGTGAAACCCCATCTGTACTAAAAATATAAAAATTAGCTGTGCATGGTGGCATGTGCCTATAGTCTCAGCTACTCAGGAGGCTGAGGCAGGAGAATTGCTTGAACCTGGGAGGTAGAGGTTGCAGTAAGCTGAGATCATGCTACTATACTCCAGCCTGGGCAACAGAGCAAGACTCCATTGGGAAAAAAAAAAGAAGAAGAATAGTGGATCCAGGAAATGAGGTTTGAGCTGAGACCTGACTCAGGTCAAGAATAAGAGAAAATGCATTTCAGGCAGAAGGAATAGCATGTGTGAAGGCACTGAGCAGGAAAAGAATTGGGTGTGGGACAAAGAATGAATGGAAAAGCATTGTTCTAGGAGTGTGAGGGAGCAGGGGGCAGTGGCAGGTGAGGTGGGCACAGGCAGGCCTGCAGAGTCTTCTTAGGCCATTTTTGGGTTTCATTCTGAGTGCAGTGAAAAGCTATCAGCATTACTTTTTATTTAGGTTTTCTTTGTGCATAAGTCTTCTCACACTGCTAATAAAAACATACCTGAGACTTGGCAATTTATAAAGAAAAAGAGGTTTAATGAACTCACAGTTCCATGTGGCTGGGGAGGCCTCACAATCATGGCAGAGGGCAAATGAGCAAAGTCACATCTTACATGGTGGCAGGCAAGAGAGAGCTTGTGTAGGGAACTGCCCTTTATAAAATAATCAGGTCTCGTGAGACTTACTATCATGAGAACGGCAAGGGAAAGACCCACCCCCATGATTCAGTTACCTCCCACTGGGTCCCTTTCACAACACATGGGAATTATGGGAGCTATAATTCAAGAAGAGATTTGGGGAGGGACACAGCCAAACCATATCACTCTGTAAGAGGTCACTGAAGACTGCCGTGGGGGGAATGGATTTGGGTAGTGGGAGGGGTACCAGAATGGATGTGAGGAGACCAGGAAGAGGTGACAGCAGCTCATGGTAGGCAAAGGTGATAATGGCTTGAACACCTCTAGGTCAGCTGTCCAAAAATCCATTCCCTTGTAGCCAGTTTCCAAAAAATTGTCAAAAAAAATCACTTCCCCTAATGAGCAATTGGCTTTGTTTTTAATTTTCAAGTGACTGATTTACCATATTTATTAAATCTATTATACAAAATCTTGCAGATTTGGGACAGATTCCCACAATCATTTTGGTGCCATCACCCCAAGAATAGATAAATGGACAGATTCAAAGGCAGAGGCAAGGGCAGGGTGAGAAGCAGATAAGGGCTCAGTATCCAAAACAGGAAGCAGAAGTCAAACTGACATTCAGTCAAGCTGGACTGACGGAGCTGCAGGAATGTCTGCCGGCAACCACGCAAGCTCACACTCGAAGAACTCCTCAGGATTCTGCCTAGTTGAATTTTCACCGTCATCCTGCAAACTTATCTTCAACCAGCTGACCTTCTTCCATCTCGAACTAGAATGCTGGCTGTAAGAATGGAAAGAATTGGAAAGACATATATTTTGTAGGTGAGATCAGCAAAATTGGCTGTTGGATTAACTTAGAAAGAAGGAGGAGGGCGTGTCAACAATAACTTTAAGACAACTGGGCTTATGGGTTGGATGTGTGGAGATGATGAAGAAGAGGGATGGTCAAGAATGACTTCCAGGTTGCGGTTTCAAACACCTGAGGGATGGAGGTGTCAATTGCAGACATAATAAAGATGACAGGACTGGGTATGGTGGCTCATGCCTGTAATCCCAACACTGGGAGGCTGAGGTGGGTGGATAACCTGAGGTCAGGGGTTCAAGACTGACCAACATGGTGAAACCCCATCTCTACTAAAAATACAAAATAAGTCAGGCATAGTGGCACACACCTGTAGTCCCAGCTACTTGGGAGGCTGAGGCAGGAGAATCGCTTGAACCTGGGAGACAGAGGTTGCAGTGAGCTGAGATTGTGCCAGTGCACTCCAGCTTGGGTGTCAAGGGCAAAACTCCATCTCAAAACATAAAAAATAATAAAAAAGATGACAGGAATAGGATTGAAGAGTAAGTCTGATTATGTTAAATTTGAGATGCTTGTGAGATAGACAAGTAGATATTTCATGTTTGTATTTAATATATGATGAGCCCAAAAGAGAGGGAGGGGCTAGAAATATCAAGTGTGGAATCTTTGACCTATAGAAAGCATTTAAACCATGGCAATAGACCACGGCACCTAGGGAGAGAATGTGGAGTGAAAAGAGAAGGGAGCTAAGATCAAGCTCTGTCCAACATTAAAGACCCAATACAGAAGGAGGAAACAGCAGAAGAAATAGAAAAGTATCTGGAAAGGAAAACTAGGAGTGTATATTATTACAGAAAGGAAGAAATTATTTCAAATCAGGGAATGATTCAGTAGGTGGAACACTGCTGAGAGACACAGATCATCCCACAATCAAATTTGCATTGGAAAGGTATTTTTCTGCTCATTATTAATGAAGATAGATAAGTATGAAAAACAATATAGCAAAGATAGAGGTCTAAAAGGAAGTAAATACATTTCTTGTGATTGATAAATAATTTAAATTACCAAAAAAAATTTGTGTTAAGCATGTCAGAGTGAAAGTATGCTCTTATCTCGAATTGTCTTAAAAATTCCTCTAAAATGACAATGAAAGGGGAAATGGTATAAGCTAGCAAGGAGGAAGAGCATGAGAGAGCAGACACAGTGGAACAGGAGAAATGTATATATGGCAAGCAGATGGACAAGTGGCAGCTGAATCATTAGAGTGGAGAAGCTTAAATGTAGGTACGTACACTACAAAACACTGGGAAATTGGAGGCTCCAAGTATTGTGAAAGCTGTAAGTCAGGCAGAAGGCTAAAAGCAAGGGAACTAGTTCAAAATCTTTGCAATCAGTAGCATCAATACACTCAGGTCCCCACATCTACATGATGCAGTGGATGGTAGGATAAAAATACCAAGAGATGTCAGGAAAGTTACCTAAAAGTCTGCACACTGAACTGTGAGTCAACAAAGGCTGTTCCCTTGCTCTACTTTGTTTGCTTCAAAGTGCCTGCAAAAAATCGTATAGCCCAAAGCAGATGGTGACCTATAAAAGACCCATAGTGACAAATAGAGGTCCCCCAGTAAAGATGCTGGCTGGCCACCCAGTTGTCCTACAATAAGGCCCATCAGTAAACAGAGAGCCAATACACATGAAGCTTCAAGAAAGAGACCAAATCATTCAAAAAAGAATTCATAAGGAACAGAAATAACAGGGCAAAATAAAAAACTTTATAGTATCCTAACAACACATTGAGTCTCTGAAACAAAAACAGGATGCTATTTTGAAAAGAGCATTCAGAGAACAAGAAAGAGCTCATAGAAATCAAAAATGTGATAGCTGGAATAAACATTTAGTCAGGGTTGGAAGACAAAGTAGAGGAAATCTGGAAGTAGAAGAAAAAGACAGTAAGAGAGAAAACATAAGAAGACCAGAGGATCAAGCCTGATGTCCCATCATACATGTAATAGGACTTCCAGAAAGAAAGAAGAGAGTAAACAGAAGGAAGAAATGATCAAAGAGTAATCCCCAGGGCTGAAATACATGTGTTTTCAGACTGAGAGGAATCATAAAATATCCAGCAGAATAAATGAAAAATAAAACAAGGCACACCATAGTAAAATATAGAACACCAGGAATCAATAGAGGATCTCAAACTAGAAAGAAAAAAAGTCACATAATGAAAAGCTGAAAAGGTAAACATAATGGAAAATTAAGTTTGCATCTAAAATGGATAAATTGAGAAATCATGATACAAACATATTTAGAACAGTGTTTCTCAACTTCATGCCATTTACCCTGTTTGTTTTTGGGGGCCTGTCTTGTGCAGTATAGGGTGTTCAGCAGTACCCCTGGCCTTCACCCACTAGATGCCAGTAATAGTCACCCCCTCCGCCATCATCATAATCAAAAATGTCTCCAGACATCCCCAAATGTCTCCTGCCAGAAGTGGGGGTGGGGGAGCGCTCTCCTTTGAGAATGCTGATTTAGGAAAATGGAGGTAAATAGAGAAAAACAGCTCCACGAGTTGGAAGTCATTGGCTCTGAGGAGCAAAACCTGGAGGAAGAGGGGTAAGCAGAAAAGAGCTGGCTTTTCCAGAGAGCCTTTGCTGCTTGGCTTTTTAAATCGTATGCATGCATTTCTTTGCTAGAAATAAATTTTGTTAACAACATTCGAGTGACCGTGTTATTATACATGAAGTTAGGATGCTTTCCCAACTCTTGTTTTGCTAAAGCTGTCTCCTCCACAGCGTAACAGTGCATTTAATGAGTTTTTTAGTTGTCCCAGAAATTTGGCTGAGCCCCCAAAGCTGAGAACAAAGAGTGCTTATTGCCTATACATTTGGAAGAGGGATGCCAGTCAGTCTATCCGGAACTATGAATGAATGACCCAGGCTCCATGAGGGAACGAGAAGACTGACTTGGAATGAGAATTTTCCAGGGAGAGGTTAAAACCCTATCCATTTCCCCTCCACCTGCAGTCAAGTAAGGAAGGACTGCAAGAAAGCTACTCAGAGCGCTGAGCCCCACCCCCTGGAGTTTGTGGAGACTGCTGCCTAATTCTTGCATGAAAAAGTCCAGCTGCTCTAAAAAATAAAGTTTTTAAAAAACTTTCAAGTGAACCTGCAGGTGGATGTTCATAGCAGCTTTATTCATAATTGCCAAACCTTGGAAGCAATCAAGATGGCCTTCAGTAGATGAATGGGTAAACTGTGGTACATCCAAACAATGAAATATTCAGTGTTAAAAACGAATGAGCTATCAAGCCATGAAAAGACATAAAGGAACCTTAAATGCATATTACTTCGTGAAAGAAGTCTACCTGATGTAGCTTAATACTGTATGATCCCAATTGAACGACATTCTAAAGAAGGCCAAACTGACCAGGCACAGTGACTCATGCCTGTAATCCCAGCACTTTGGGAGGCTGAGGTGGGCACATTGCCTGAGCCTAGGAGTTCAAGACCAGCCTGGAAAACATGGGGAAACTCGGTCTCTACAGAAATTAGCCAGGTGTGATGGTGCACACCTGTAGTCTCAACTACTAGGGAGGCTGAGGTGGGAGGATTGTTTGAGACTGGGAGGTTATGGCTGCAGTGAGCCGTGAACATGCCCCCGCACACCAGCCTGTGTGACAGAGCAAGACTCTCTTTAAAAAGACAGTAAAAAGATCATTAGTTTCCAGGGGATGGGGGGAGGGAAGGATAAATAGGCCACAGAGAATTTCTAACCAGTGAAACTACTTTATATCATACTATCATGGTGGCTACCTGTCATTGTACATTTGCATAGATTGTACCACACCAAGAGTAAACCTAATGTAAACTGTGGACTTTGGGTGATAATGATAGGTCAGTGTGGGTTCATCACTCGTAACAGATGTGCCCCTCTGGAGGGGAATGTTGATAGTGGGGGAGGCTGTGCATACATACATAAGGGCAGGGGATATATGGAAAACCTCTGTATCTTTTGCTCAATTTGCTGTGAACCTAAACTGCTCTAAAAAGTCTATTTAAAAAAAAATATGTCAAGGATGATGTGAACTGCCTAGGACAGCAGAGTGAGGGAAAGAGTCCTCCAGAGGGTTTGACCTGCACTTCCAAAGTTTCTTGAGAGTTAAATGCCAAGCTTTCCCATTGGATAACTGGGCATCCTGAAAGGTAACGAGGCTTGGCTCATTTGATAGGTACCTGCCCAAGAAGTCTGCCTACAGGATGAGCATACGCCAGCCGAAATTACCTGGAAAGCCGTACCTTCTGATAGGAGTTGGAGGGAGGATATCTAAGAGTCAGGAGGAAGGAGCATTACATAGTTAGGGCATAGTAACTGGGAGTCCTTTATTGCAAAGGGGTCTCCAGAGAACCCACAAAATCACCCCATTGGAGAAAGAGCTCGCATTTGTGCATCAACACCAAATTACAATGGCACCCACTAAGATAAGACTTTTTTCTGCTTTTATCTAATTTGTGAAAGAATAAAGCAGAAAAAAAAAAAAAATCACCCACTGGCAAAAAGGAGATGACAATGGAAACTGTCTCAACCTGGACTCTATCAGCACCAAGGTAAGATGATGTGCAGGATTGGGTTAGGGTAGGTTGCATCTTAAATTAAGATGGGCTTCACTCGTTCATCAGAAATAAAGAACCAAGAGAAAAACACATGTAACCCCTGTGTCTTCTAATGATCTCCCATTTCTGTTTGGTTTTTAATCCCACAGGCTTAGCCTTTGCAATGCTGGCAGCTGTGCCTCCGATATTCGGCCTGTACTCTTCATTTTATCCTGTTATCATGTATTGTTTTTTTGGAACCTCCAGACACATATCAATAGGTAAAAGCTTATACTTGATATTCTACTACCTTCCCTTGTGTATTTCCAGCCTTTGCAATGTGCCAAAGAAATAGCATGGTCATTATTAAAAATTGTCTTAATAACAACTTTTGTTACTGCATGCACGACAGGTGCTTTAAAAACCTACACTCGGCCAGGTGTGGTGGCTCACCCCTGTAATCCCTGCACTCTGGGAGGCCGAGGCGGGCAGATTGCCTGAGGTCAGAAGTTTGAGACCAGCCAGACCAACATGGTGAAACCCCATCTCTTTGTAAAAATATAAAAATTAGCCAGGCTTGGTGACGGGTGCCTGTAATCCCAGCTGCTCGGGAGGCTGAGGCAGGAGAATTGCTTCAACCCGGGAGGCAGAGGTTGCAGTGAGCTGAGATCGCACCACTGCACTCCAGCCTGGGCAACAGAACAAGACTCCATCTCAATAAAAAAAAAAAATACACACCTCCCAAGATTTCTAGAACTTACAACTTTCTTATAATCTTGGAATAATAAAAAAGACAATTTTCTTGTGTAAAAGGGCAATTGTTGAAATCTGTGAAATGAGATAAATGCTTCATTTCATAATGTAATTTGCCAGCATCTGGTTTTTATTTTTATACTAATGGTAGTATTTCAAGTTCCTAATCGCTCTTCACGTATTTCATTTTTGTCATATTTGGGGCTCTGAATTGTACATATTTTCAGTTTATCAGAGGCATATGGATTTCATAATAGTCCTGGTATTGCATAAGGCTACCACCTAGCACACACACACTTTCCAGATATCTACTGTTTGGCAACAAATACCCTCAAAATGTAGCAGCTTTACAACAACAATCATGTTTGTATCTTCCATAGTGCCTACAGGTCAGGACTTGGGAAGGCCTGGTCTGGATAATTCTTCCTCTCTCCCTTTTTCCTCCCCCTCTTCCCTCTTCCCTGCCTTCCTTTCTCCATGCAGTCCCAGGAATTGTCCACTTGGCCTAGTTGGAGCTTTTTTACACATGGTGACTCGGCTTCAGCAGAAGGTGGAAGTTGCAGCCCTTTTATTACCAAGCCTCGGAAGTCACACAGCTTCACTTCTGCTGCATTCTTTTGTTTACTAACAAGTCAAAGCCAACCCAGATTCAACCCAGATTCAAGGAGAAATTAGACTCCACCTCTTGATGGGGAAATATCAAGAAGAGTAGGTGGATGGAAGATATTGCTATGTCTATTTTTGGAAAATACAGTCTGCATGCACACACATGCGCATGCACACACACACGGTTGCTCACACACCAGAGGCAGGACACTAAAGAAGGGAGCATAGCCTTCTTTCAAGCATGACTTCTTGACCTCAACTTTGTCTCTTGGTGTGCTGGCAAAAACCCTATCAGATACTCTGAATTAGATAGTGTCATTGAACCCTGAACAGGGATCTTCATGCTTCATTATTTCAGGTCCTTTTGCTGTTATTAGCCTGATGATTGGTGGTGTGGCTGTTCGATTAGTACCAGATGATATAGTCATTCCAGGAGGAGTAAATGCAACCAATGGCACAGAGGCCAGAGATGCCTTGAGAGTGAAAGTCGCCATGTCTGTGACCTTACTTTCAGGAATCATTCAGGTAAGGCTCAAAGATGGGGAAATGGACTGTCTCATTTGTTAACCTAACAGGTATCTATTGAGAGCTCTTAGCTGGTCTTCCTACACGGTGGGCGGGGTCTGCTGGAGAAACCCCAAAGCTCCGGGAGTAACTGCAGGCCAACTGCATGCCTTATTCACAACTATGAGTGACCAACAAGCAAGCTTCAGGTGGATGCTTTAAAGATCCCAAAAGCAAGACAAGTTTGACACAGCAGGATTGATTAGTGCTGGGAGAGGATATTCCTCTCTGCTTGGAGGGAACAGCCAATGATCATGATCATGCACTTTAGTCTACATGATGAAGCATGCCCCCAGCTCCATGAGAGACAGGGAAGGCATTAGTGTGGCCAGTGCACTGTGGGACACCAAGCCACTCCAGACTTTCCTCTGTTTTCTGTATAACCAGTGATTGATTTGTTAGCTACTTACCCACTTCATGTACAAGTTTGCAGTATTAGAAAATGGTCCAGAGGCTGGGCGCAGTGGCTCACACCTTTAATCCCAGCACTTTGAGAGGCTGAGGCAGGTGGATCACAAGGTCAGGAGTTCAAGACCAGCCTGGCCAACATAGTGAAACCCCGTCTCTACTAAAAATACAAAAATTAGCTGGGTGTGGTGGCGGGCACCTGTAGTCCCAGCTACTCAGGAGCCTGAGGCAGGAGAATCACTTGAACCCGGGAGGCGGAGGTTGCAGTGAGCCGAGACCATGCCACTGCCTGGGTAACACAGCGAGACTCCATCTCAAAAAAAAAAAAGAAAATGGTCAAGAAAGAACTTGTATATTTGCTGTGGGTCTTAACTTCCTGACCTATCATGTGATTCATTTGTTTCTTTGTCATTAAAAAAAAATAGTTTTGCCTAGGTGTCTGTAGGTTTGGATTTGTGGCCATATATCTCACAGAGCCTCTGGTCCGTGGGTTTACCACTGCAGCAGCTGTGCATGTCTTCACCTCCATGTTAAAATATCTGTTTGGAGTTAAAACAAAGCGGTACAGTGGAATCTTTTCAGTCGTGTATGTAAGTAAGCAACTCCTTGACATTCTGGTACTTGTTTTTTCTTCTTTATTTCCCCCACTTCTCTTCTGTATCTCTTTTTACTTTCAAGACTCATTTTTCTTTTTCTCCAGTAATTTCCATAAAAAAGGAAAAATTCATTTATTCTAAGGTTTTCTGAAAAGAGTGTTACAAAGAGGACTAAACCTTAAAATCTCTATTATTAATATGTGATACTGCCCACTTCACAAGGAATTTTTCGCTAGGTCTTTATTTGGTGACTACACCATCACTCTAATTAGGTGAAGAGAGAGCTTTTTCTTACAACCAAATCATAGTCTTTTTGGAAACTAACAAATAATTTAAAGGCATGAGGGGAGAACATCTCTCTCTCTCTCAAAAACTGCTAATTCAGGCTGGGTGCGTGGCTCACGCCTGTAATCCCAGCACTTTGGGAGGCCGAGATGGGCAGATCACGAGGTCAGGAGATCAAGACCATCCTGGCTAACACGGTGAAACCCCATCACTACTAAAAATACAAAAAAATTAGCTGGTGTTATGGCAGGCGCCTGTGGTCCCAGCTACTCAGGAGGCTGAGGCAGGAGAATGGCATGAACCTAGGAGGCGGAGCTTGTAGTGAGCCGAGATCGTGCCACTGCACTCCATCCTGGGCGACAGAGTGAGACTCCGTCTCAAAAAAAAACCAACTGCTAATTCAAACCGGCAAAAAAAAATAAGGCTGTAAAAGATTTAACTAACATAAATCTTTTAGTTACATAGACCCCTTACCAAACTCAGAGAAAATATAAATTATTTGCAAGCACTTAAGGAACAATGGTACTAACTGATCATGTTGAAATTGATCATGTGAAACTGATCACCAATTCTAAAAATTCAATGTTTTTTCACACAATGCAATATAATTAAAAATCAAAAACTAAACATAGCTTTAAAACTCCCACATATTTAGAAACCAAAAAACATTTCTAAATGACCCATGAATAAAGAGGGAATTAGGAAATAATTAGCATTAATTGATAGAAGTACTACATATCAAAACCTCTGAGATGCTGTTAAAGCTGTCCTTGGAAAGAGGCCTGTAGTCTTTGTAGGTATTTATGTGCTAGGCACTGGGTGCCAAGATGCAGCTGTGAGCTGAGAAGATACAGGCCTTTCCCTCTGGAACTTTCAGTCCAGTGGGAAGATAGTAAACCTTTAATTGCATACATGTGTAATCAATTACAATTTGTGTTGCGTGCTATGAAGGAGAAGTACCAGCTGCTCTGAAAGTTAAATAGGGAGACCTTGAGATTAGGGGTCTAGGAAAGGCACTTTGAGGAAGTGACATTTAGATTGAGTCATTGACTGGTTAAAATGGAATCAGACTTTAGGAATATTCTCTAAATAACAAAATTATTAGTCTCCCATAATAGCTGTTACCGTACTTCTTACTCTGAGACTTCTCGAAATGCCTTGTCACAAAGGAAATAAACATACTGAGTACTCTAGGCATCGATAGGAAAGGGTGCATGGCCTGAGCTGAGCAGGAAGTCTACTTTATTGGGTTTCAAATGAGAATTGACTATATTTGAGGTGCCCGGTTGGTAACCCTGGGATATAATTAAGTGGATTTCTTCTCTAGTTCTCCTAGGTTCCTTTCCCAGACATCAGCACTCTTGACTTCAAAGTCCTGCTAACAATACTTTCTCCTTCTTTGAGCTCCTAAAAGCTTTTCTATGTATTTACCTTTGGAGTACTTTGCTATCAACCCTTAATTCTTTCCAAGTGCTCAGGACTCAGCTTCAGGGTTCCTTTTCTGAATTTTATAATATTACATTGAGACATCAGCATATGATAAGAATAATTGTTTGATAGGAATAACTATAAGGCTGGGTGCAGTGGCTCACACCTGTAATCCCAGCACTTTGGGAGGCCGAGGTGGGCGGATGACTTGAGGTCAGGAGTTCGATACCAGCCTGACCAACATGTTGAAACCCCATGTCTACTAAAAATACAAAAATTAACTGGGCGTGGCAGCAGGCACCGATAATCCCAGCTACTCAGGAGGCTGAGGCAGGAGAATCACTTGAACTTGGGAGGCAGAGGTTGCAGTGAGCCAAAATCATGCCACTGCACTCCAGCCTGGGCAGCACAGCAAGACTGTGTCTCCAAAAAAAAAAAAAAAAAAAAAAAAAAAAAGAAATGTTAAACAAAAAAAAAATAAAAGCCTCTGAAAAAAAAAAAAAAAAAAGAATAACAACTATTTAAAAAAAAAAAAAAGAGTAACAACTGTAAAGTTGTAGACTGGGTAAAAATACCTCCTAATTGGTGGAAGCTACAAAGAGAGATTTCAGCCTGAGAACTTTTAACTAGAAATACCCAGTGGAATGGCTGATGTGAATTAGTGCACTAGACAGTCTCTGTCTCTCTCAGGGGCAATTTCTTGATGTAAACATCCAGCGTTCACTGTGTTACAGAGTACAGTTGCTGTGTTGCAGAATGTTAAAAACCTCAACGTGTGTTCCCTAGGCGTCGGGCTGATGGTTTTTGGTTTGCTGTTGGGTGGCAAGGAGTTTAATGAGAGATTTAAAGAGAAATTGCCGGCGCCTATTCCTTTAGAGTTCTTTGCGGTAAGTCACCTTGGGTCAATGACCTATTCAGCTTCTACGACTGCATTTACTTATTTCTGTAAGGGATTTTGAAGTGGATGAAAGAAATTTTTTGCTCTCAATTCTGCCAAAAGAAGGTTACAATTTGTCGAAGAAATTTGACAAATTCATTGACAAGAAAGTAAAAAGAAAAAGCCTTAAAACATAGACACAGATGATTTTTTAAATTATATGTAAGACTATACATGAAAATTTTAACATTAATTATAAGTGATGGGGTTATGGAAGATTTTCTCCTCAAATTTTTGTTGGCTAATTCTTTTATAATGAGCACATATTACTTTAGTAACCAAAAAAAAAATCCATTTCCGTTTTGACAAAGCAAAGGTTCCCAAACTTTCTCCATCCCTTGACACTCCTAAGCCAAAAGAAATACCTCACAGTTCCATTTATTAAGTAGTTAGTTCCAAACACTTTAATAATATTTATGATTAACAACTTCATAGTTGTTTTTAAAAATATGCATATAAATTGGAATAAAAATATTTTATTATGTTAAGTAACCACAATTATTTAATCATGGAATGCATATGCCTGATGGAAACTGCATAGATCCTCAAATCTCAGAATCAAAAAGGGCACTGCTACCCTCATTTCCTGTTCCCATGAATATGTATGTGGTTCCTGCTTTTTCATCACAGCAACCACTGAACACCTAGCTTTGCAAAGATACGGCATTATTGAAAGGAACACAGTGTTCAAACTGTGAACTACTGCCAACTAGAAGTTTGCACAGTGCCCAATAGATGTCACTGTTTCACTGGGGACCTTTTAATATCCAAAGTGTCCCATAGAGTGCCCTTGGCATCCTGGGACTTGTTTGCACATGTGTGGGAGCTACAAGGAGAAGAAATGAAGAGTAGGCTAGGTGTGGTGGCTCCACACCTGTAATCCCAGCACTTTGGGAGTCCAAGGCAGGCAGATCACTTGAGGCCAGGAGTTCGAGGCCAGCCTGGCCAACATAGTGAAACCCTGTCTCTACTAAAAATACAAAAAATTAGCCAGGTATGGTGAAATGCACTTGTAAACCCAGCTACTTGGGAGACTGAGGCATGAGAATTGCTTGAACCTGGGAGGCAGAGGTTGCAGTGAGCCAAAATCGCACCTCGCACTTCAGCCTGGGTGACAGAGCAAGATTCTGTCTCAAAAGAAATGAAGAGTATGTTTGGGGGTAAAGGGCTGGCAAGATGGCCGAATAGGAACAACTCTGGTCTGCAGTTCCCAGCGAGATCAACACAGAAGGCGGGTGATTTCTGCATTTCCAACTGAGGTACCTGGTTCACCTCATTGGGACTGGTTAGACAATGGGTGCAGCCCACAGTGGGCAAAATGAAGCAGGGTGGGGCATCACCTCACCCAGGAAGCACAAGGAGTCGGGGAACTCCCTCCCTTAGCCAAGGGAAGCTGTGAGGGACTGTGCTGTGAGGAACAGTGCATTCTGGCCCAGACACTATGCTTTTCTCATGGTCTTCACAATGCACAGACTAGGAGATTCCCCTGGGTGCCTACACCACCAAGATTCCCTTAGATTTCAAGTACAAAACTGGGCAGCTGTTTGGGCAGACACTGAGCTAGCTGCTGGAGTTTTTTTTCATACCCCAGTGGTGCCTGGAACACCAGTGAGACAGAACCATTCACTCCCCTGAAAAGGGGGCTAAAGCCAGGGAGCCAAGTGGTCTAGCTCCAGCGGATCCCACTCCCACAGAGCCCAGAAAGCTAAGCTCCATTGGCTTGAAATTCTCGCTGCCAGCACAGCCGTCTGAAGTCGACCTGGGATGCTCAAACTTGGTAGGGGGAGGGGCACCTGCCATTACTGACTTGAGTAGGCAGTTTTCACCTCAGAGTGTAAACAAAGCCACCTGGAAGGTCCAACTGGGCGGATCCCACCATAGCTCAGCAAAGCTGCTGTAGCCAGACTGCTTCTCTAGGTTCCTCCTCTCTGGACAGGGCATCTCTGAAAGAAAGGCAGCAGCCACAATCAGGGGCTTATAGGTAAAACTCCCATCTCCCTGGGACAGAGAACCTGGGGGAAGGGGAAGCTGTGGTCGCCGCTTCAGCAAACTTAAACATTCCTATCTGCCATCTCTGAAGAGAGCACCAGATCTCCCAGCACAGCATTCAAGCTCTGCTAAGGGACAGACTGCCTTTTCAAGTGGGTCCCTGACCCCCGTAACTCCTAACTGGGAGATACCTCCCAGTAGGGGCCAAAGACACCTCATACAGGAGACCTCTGGCTAGCATCTGGCGGGTGCCCTCTGGGACAAAACTTTTGGAGGAAGGAACAGGCAGCAATCTTTGCTGTTCTGAGCCTTCACTGGTGATACCCAGGCAAACAGGGTCTGGAGTGGACCTCATCAAACTCCAGCACACCTGCAGCAGAGGAGCCTGTCAGAAGGAAAACTAACAAACAGAAAGGAATAGCATCAACATCAACAAAAAGGACGTCCACACAAAAACCCCATCTAAAGGTCACCAACAGCAAAGACCAAAGGTAGATAAATCCATGAAGATGAGGAACAACCAGTGCAAAAAACTGAAAATTCCAAAAGCCAGAATGCCTCTTCTTCAAAGGATCACAACTCCTCACCAGCAAGGGAACAAAACTGGATGGAGAATGAGTTTGATGAATGCATAGAAGTAGGCTTCAGAAGGTGGGTAATAACAAACTTCTCCGAGCTAAAGGAACATATTTTAACCCAATAGAAGGAAGCTAAGAACCTTGAAAAAAAGGTTACAGGAATTGCTAACTAGAATAACCAGTTTAGAAAAGAACATAAATGACCTAATGGAGCTGAAAAACACAGCACAAGAATTTCGTGAAGCATAAACAAATATCAATAGCCAAATCAATCAAGCAGAAGAAAGGGTATCAGAGATTGAAGATCAACTTAATGAAATAAAGCTTGAAGACAAAATTTGAGGAAAAAAAAAGAATGAAAAGGAATGAACAAAGCCTCCAAGAAATATGGGACTATGTGAAAAGACCAAACCTACGTTTGATTGGTGTACCTGAAAGTGACGGGGAGAATGGAACCA